CTTGTGTGTGAGATGGTGGCAACACATTAACCAACCCTGAATTTCCTTCCTCTTCGCCCTGGCATCTGGATTTCAAATGGCATTCCATTGTTGTGGCAGTGAACAGTACCAGGGAGAACACGTGTGTAGGTCAGGAAGTGTGTGTGTACACAGTGTGCAGCTTCACAAGGGCATCAGCTAAACTCGTGCTAACGGGGTTTTTGGCATATGAGCAACACAAGTACAGCCTCTGACAAGCTCTCTGACCTAAATGGACAGCACAGTCTTGCCAGATCCACAAGAAGTGCCCATTTGAAACATGAAGCAGAGCTGTGAGATGTCAGAGGAGCTCTGGAGATGAACCACGTACGTGGGCCAGAAATGCAGATTTTCATACAGAACAAACTGAAGGTCCTGACATGAGGCTGAACAGTATCAATCATTCTGGATTTCAGGGTAGAACCATCCTAACTGCTTAGAAAAACAGTTCTGCACTAAGTTACATAAAGTGGACAGGAAGCTTTGATTCAGGGGTGGTTTGGGTTTTTAGAGGTGTTGGCTCTATCTGTTCCCCTCCTTCTGTAGCTATCCATTTAGGAAGCTTCTTGTGAAAACAGCCATGTTTCTTAAGGAGCTAAATCTGCCCAGTTTTCACTTGGTCAAGTAAGACACAGACATGTAAAGCATGTGAACCAATCAAAAGAATGATTTCCTGAAACTACCAGTAATGTGAAGAGAACCGGTGGCTGCTAAATAACAAAGTTTCTGCTGTGACCAAAAAAAACTGCACAAACTCTCTGTTTTGAACTATTAGTTTGGAATAACTGATTCAGACACTGTATACACTGTGCCAAGTTCTGAGAGCATCAAAACCAGAACAAACTGTCTTTGTACTAACTCACAATAACAACTGGATCAATTCCCATGGAGAGAAAAGTTCCCCCAAAGCAGCCTTTAGTATCTTTTCTGTTTTGTCTGTAACCTGAAGAGCTGTGGGGTGGTGGGTGGTGGGGAGCCCTGTTTGTGGCCAGCCACTGTGTGCACTGCAGGTGATTCCCACCATCCAGGACACTGCTCCACAAAGCCAGCATGGCAGTCTGTCATCCAGGAACCAGCACAACCACCTGCATCTGGGTGTCCCAACAGCTTCCCAAAAACATCAGGAAGCCAGGCCTCCCCATCACCAACAGATGATGGGATAACAGAATCGAGGCACTTGCCGGTGACAGGCATTCCAAGAGAATCTCAGCTTCAGACTGAAAATGCTACTTTTCTTGGGGTGCCAGAATGACTGAAATTATGTTTTTTAAAGGAAAAGGCTTTTCATCTTTTGTAATATATGTCAGAATATCAGGCTGTGCTCCTCCAGATTTACTGTAGTGGAAAGAGCAGCACTGAAGAAATCAGTGCCAAGACTGATATGTAAATATCGGTGTTCTGAACAAGTACTGCACCACTCACCACCCAGACTGCTGGAGAACTGTCAGCACCTGTGGGGGACAACACCCAGCAAGTGCTAAATTCTTATTTTACTGGCTTTACTTCAGCTGTTTTAATGCTCCTGTCAGGTTTCATCACGTACCTGCTAAGGAGGGTTATGGCACTGCAATGCCCTTCTGGACAGTGCTGGTAGTACGGCAATTCCTAAAGCTTTAAGAAGGGAACTATTCACACCTCATTCACCTGCTGGAGCCTCAGCCTGTACCTGCTGCTACTCATGTTTTCGACCAAGTCTCAACTAGAATGTCCAGTCCCAGCCTACCAGCAGAAACTCCCCGTCACAGAGCTCCCAGCCTAAGCAAACCTGTAGGATGAGGTCTTTAGGTAAGTAATGGGTTAAAGAATAAGAGCTTTGATAATGAAGTTCACTGAAAAAAATTTGAAGTGTTTTCAGCTGATTTTAACCCACTGAAGGCACAGTGGTATTCTTTCAGGTTGATAGAGCAAGAGAGGGAATCAATCTTCCAAGCAGCAGAGACAAATCAATTCAGATCGTTTCAGAGTGAAGCCAGTGCAAGGTGACAGCCAGCAGTGTGACAGGGCACAAGGCTCCTGCACTTCCCCAAGTGCCACACAGGGTGGGGGATCACATGCTCCAGAACAACCTGGATTCACTTGCCTTTACACTCACAGCCACAGCTCCAGGCTCAGGAGAAGCCAAAGGGTGCTCCTTTCCAGCCACACAGCAATCCCAGCTTGCCCTGCTTTGGGATTAACACCTCACACCACACTTCATTTCTCCCTGTGTCTCTCACACGTTATCCTTAACAAGCTACATTACTAAAATCCCATGGCTTTGGCAGTGCTGGCAGTTTTAGGAAAAACGCAGGCTGCTTGTTCTTTTTGCTTAACACTCCTGTCATCTTCCTCCCCACAACTCCACCCTCTTCTCCGCACGTCCTGAGCTCCTCTTTTGCACAACTTTGCTACCAAAGCAGCTCCCTGTTTCACAGCCTGTGCAAATGCAATACCTGTGATACTTGCCCCAGACCTGTGTACCTTTGTGTGACTGCTTACATATACACTTGTGAGATGGGAAATAAACAAGCTACCAACTTTAGTCTTGTCTAATTCTGTAATCCTCCCACAAAACACTGAGTATACAGCATTAGCCTTTATATCTGCCATAATCACATGTAACAGCATTCTGCTTAGAAGTTCCTGCTATCTTTCCACACCTGCTTCTTCCCCTTTTCTCATAAGCAGCAGCCTGCCCATCCATTACCTGGGCTTGATAGTAATTTGTGGCTTTTTTTCTTTAACCTCCAGCAACCTGAAACAATATGCTTGCTATCTAAATCCCACCATCAAGAAAATCCTTACCCCAGCTACAGCCACTTGAGCATTCGTGCACTGAAACAGAGTTGAGCATTAGAGCTCAAGTGTGAAGGTCTCATGATTACAGTTCATACAAGGCTGGCAAAAGCAAAACTGAGGGAAGGTGTGTTCCTCTCCCTCTGTCTGAAGCATTCATTTGTCCATGTATTTTACCCTTCTTGCCCAGGAAAGAAAAAGCTATTGTAAAACACTATGAAGTAGATTAATTTAACCCAAAAATGAAGGTCCAGCTGCAGTAATTCAAGCTGACAGCTGAGCTGTTCAGTGCTAAATTTTCTCTGTCAAGGTTGTATTGGAAATATCTTTTAGTCCAGCAGCAAGGACTACAGGTATGGGTTACTTGTACCCACAAGGCTCAGCAGCCTTCCCTCTAGGTCTGCCATTCCCTCTGTGACACACAACTTCCCATAGCTACCAAAGACTTCTTGCTGCTGTAAATTTTTTAATGTTTATTTTAAAGTAGTCACATGGCTCCCATTCTATTCTGGATGATTAAGACAGGATAGCTAATAGCCTGATGGATACTGAAAGAAAATCAGGAGAGCATTTAGCCTCCCACACACGAGTCAGACCTTTAATCCATCTGAAGCAGCAACACCTTCTAAGACTGACATTTTCTACACAGAAAAATTCCCAGCTAAATAATAATCACTCATGATTCCAGGGGAGCTCAGCAACAAAACTATTTCTGTTACCAAGCTTTTTTACAATGTGTTTAGAATCTAAAGCAAGATGCTAGAAACAGCAAGCTTTGGTTCTCCTCATTATTAGTTACAGGAAAACTTTAAACTCAAATCTTCCTATTTCTGACAATCACTTTTCTGGAAGAGGCTCTGGCTGCTTTTAAGTGTTCAAAGCTGCCCTTAAAATGAGAAAAGTTCTTATCAATACATCTAACTTTCACAGCAAGTAACTAACTCTACTTGTCAGCGAGTGGGACAGTAATGTGCATTACGCTGCAACTGCACAGTGAACGTGGGAAGAGGGGGGAAAAAAAATCAAACCATTACTGACCCACCATTTTGGTAGTTCCATGGATACATTTAAAACCACCACAAAAGAAACCCCACATACAGACTTAAGAGTTCAGTACCACATTCTTATGAGTGCTGAACATGGCACAAAGTCATGTTTCACAGCAACAGACCCCCAAGAGAACAGCTAGACTGGAATCCCTCTAGCCCAGGAGTGATCAGCACCATTCTGAAGAACAGTATTTCCCTTTAGAGCATCCCAGATTCCAGCAACCCACTGTTTGGGGATTATGAATTTTTATCAGCTCCAGTGCTCTGCAAAAAACACCCCCAAATCTGTCTCCCTGTAACATGAAAGCAATCCCAGGACAAGTGACCAGAACTTAGTTGAGGTAAAGCACATTGAGGAAAGAAAACCAATCTTTCCACGGGATCCCTAGTGCTTGGCTACAGTTGTAAAAACTCAGGTACTCAACTGACTAAACCACCTGTGGCAATATCTCAACAACCATAGCGACAAAGTCACGTTGCACCTTCCTCTTCCACATGTTGCTTTTCACAGGAACATTACCAGGTAAGTTGCTGTTATTTTTGGAGACCTACAATAAATCAAAATAGCCAGTTAGTGCAAGCAGCATAGTTCTGTTCCCCTGAAATACACATAATTCCATTTTAACATTAGTGCTTTACAACCACCCACACACTAAAGAAATAGGATAATTACCCACACTTCACACCTACTCAATTCTTTTCCTTCTGGGGAACACTCAAGAAACTGATTTATAACAGCCTTCTGCTCAGGGCCTGTCACCTCTCCAATCAAACAGCATGGATTTGGTACCAACCAAAGCTGAAGCTGAAGTATTGTCGAATTTTACATCTGTTCCATTTCCTTTGTTTTAAACTGTAAAATAAAGTAAGAAAACCCTCAAATCCCAGTAAATGCCTCAAAAGGGAACAAGGCAGGGTTGCACATCATTACCATACTCTCAGACAGGGCAACTTAGGGCAGCTTCTTCCCCACTGGGGAGCCTTTACCACTGTTTTGCTGCCATTAAGAAACCTTACTGAGAAAGTCACTTAACCCATTTCAATGTTAATTATCAGATTTCATCAGCTTAAAGAGTTTAAATGTACCATTCTGCTCTCCAGCAACAGAATCTTTTCTGGAAGGATGTCAGCAAAGACAGTAGGAAAAAAAAACCACAATAAGCAACACAAGTCAATCTTTATTGAAAACTGAAGTATTAATACATAACAATTCTTGTTACAATAAACGTGCTTTTAAGAATTTAAATCTGAGCTCATCTACTCATTGAATTGCATAAAAAATAAAAAAAGTATGAATTTTCACAATTGAACTGGCTCAGAATGGAATCTCCACTCTTTGTGTTGATGCAATAGTTCAATGCAGGAGTGAGTGATGCCTTAAAACTTATTCTGGAAGACAACATTGACCTAAACTTAAAAAAAAAAGTACCAATACAACTGTTCCTAAGACAGTTTTAAAAAAAGTCATAAAAAGGAAACCTGTGTCTATTTCATAACAAACATGGAGAACTATTACTGGGGCCTCTTGTACTTCCATTGCATGCACTCACTTTTTAAAATCTTGGACAGGAGGGCAGCCAATAATAGCATTACAATTAAAAAAAACCCACTAACAAATCCCTTCTACTTAAAACAAATCTGTACAGCAGCCAGCTAAAAAAGCTTTCCCAGTTTGCCTGCTAAGTGCCCAAAAGTCACAACCAGTTTAGAAAAGTCATGTTCACTTTCTTGATGTTTAAACTTCAGAGCCCATAAATTTTACAAATCACAAATGGACCCTTACTACGCATGAAATTCAGATGTTTCAGTGTTATATGCAACCCACACAAGAAAAGGTTTCCTTGTCCCCAGATAAGCACTGTTCCTTTTCCCTCTCTTCAGTCTACAAACCAGCCCTTATTCCCCCTCAGCACCCCTGACCAGAGGTGCACAGCCTGCCGAGGCCTCGCTCCTTCAGAGAGCTCAGAACCAACTCGGCTCTTGGTGAGCCCTGATGCACAAACTGCCCTTCCCTGCTGCAGGAGCTCCTGCTAAGCAGCACTGCACCTCCTCATGTCTGAGGGCTCTGCAGGACCCTTCGAGCTGACACGATACAGGATTAGAAAGCTGACACTTAGTAATGAGAACAATGTGAATGTGCTGAACTCGCCGTGTCTGTTCCAGCGTTCACAACCGCAGGGACACGGGGCTGGGCTCCCGCCTGACACCTGCTGGAGAGGCCTGGGGTGACTGGGCCTGTTTCCCATGGAACACGGCACAGACCACGGCCCGGGCACCACCCAGGCCAGGCACAGACCACAGCCCGGGCACCACATCGGCCAGGCACAGCCCCCGCATCTGTCCTTTCCCTCGAGCTCCAGCTGAAGCATCACTATCGCTCACGATCCTAAGATGGGAGGTTTCACACACACGGTAGTTACTACTCCTGGGATGAGTTTAAGCCTACTTAGGTGGTGGTATTGGATTGCTGTGCTCACCTATTCAAGCAAAACCCAAATGAACAAGTGTGTAATACTGTGCTGAAGCACTGGGGAGTGATTCCAAGACAATCCTGACCATCTCTTGCCTTACTACCCAAGGAGCAGTGAAGCCAGAATGCTCCATGGAGAGCAGTCAATGCTGAGTACCCTGGTATACAGCTCTGCACCATCAGCTATTTTCTGACAACACTAAGACACGGTGGTACTTACAGGTGGTGGTTTGGTTCTGGTTTTTGGTTTTTTTTTTTTTTTCAGTGGATGAAGCAATACGAGGAAGAACTTCAACTAAAATAAAGGACTTTTTTTGTCTACCACTGCATCTAAGCATTTAACTTGCATAGTACACTCAAAAAGAAGCTTTCTTGAACAGCATTCCTGCATGTCTCCTAGAAACTTCAAACAGGAGATGGTTACAACAAGCATAAGCAACATCTAATAGTAGGTTCTCTCTTTTCCTTCCTAGTGTTTAGTTAACCACCATGCCACTGACTAGGGCTACATGTTTTTGGTGCCAGTTATTAGCCATTTTTCTTTTGCTGCTGCTACATTTAAAAGACATTTTCATCAGCTGTTACTGACATAGGGAATACCTCAGTTTTTTAAAAATACGTTATCTAAACTCAACACTTGAAATTTGAATTTTAACCAAAAAAAAAGAAAAATCTTTCTTGGACTTCTCTTTGTTATTGCTGCAAGTTATTTTCAGTTCCAGGTTTATAGTAGTACTTTTTTTTTAATCATATAAAGCTGCCATAAAAGTTTTTTTGTGTGGTTTTTTTTTGGTTTTTTGTTTTTTTTTTTAAAGAGAAGCTTGATCTGAAATGTCTCTACTGCACTAGCTCTTTTCACTTGCTGAGGAGCTCTTGTGCAAACACATACTGCGTATTCATTTATAAAGGAATTCTAAATAGGGAATGTTATATAAAAAGCAGGAGAGAATGTTTCGTAAGACCCTCACTGTGTAAACGCCTATTTAATGATGTACAGTTTCCCCTGCTGCAGTTTTATATCCATGCTTTCTACTATTTGCAACAAAATACCATTAAGATAGTTATATATACACATATTCCCCCGTCCCCCTGCACTGTGCTTTTGGTTACTTTTCATAACAACTCCTGGAGACACGCTCCAGCCTCCCAGCAGATCAGAGTCGCTCAGAACTGGAAGGTGTGGTACCTTTGGAAAAGGTACAGTTTCTCCCTCCTGGATGAATCCCATAATGCAACTTAGGAAAAAAAGTGCTCAAGTAAGTGAGACTGCCTAAATGTTATGGAATACTATATGGAGATCAATTCCAAGATGACATTTCGGAATCTGAAGTTAGAGCAAATATACAGGAAGTTATATTCATTTCTCAACTATTTCTCTATTGCAGCATTCATGGAAGTTCTCTCCTATGATTTTCAAAGCTTCAGTTTATGGTGATGAGACAGGAGACAGCAAAGCTTTCAGCTTGGCCTTCCCAGCTCCTCCCCAACACAGCCCTGCTCCAGACCTCAGCTCCTGGTTAAAACCACGCTCAGGACAAGTGCCCTGTGTTAATGCTCATTGTGCTCTGCCACACCTCACTAATCAAAGCTGCACATCTACTACACAAATGGAATTGTTAAACAGACTTGAACAAAGCACTACAGATTCGACTAAGTTTGTCTTGGGTAATTTTCTGCTCCATATAAAAAACATATGGAAATCCCTAAGCTGCAGTAAGTGCTCACGAATAAGGTTTAAAGTACTTATTCTAACAACATAGTTATGTTCAAGGCATTAGAAATAAGGGGGCCATCCACTGACAGTGATTCATGCAAAATAAACCTAAACTTTATTTAAAAAAAAAAGGGGGGGTACAAAATACAGAGAGTGCTTACTGTAAAAAATAAAGTTACTGAAGGCTCTAACCACCAATGGGGTATGAAGGTACACAAGCCTCCCACCAGGGCAGAGTACTGGGATGGCAGCATTAAATCAGCACTGATGCTGCCCCAAAGCAGCTGCCAAATCTGTACAGGAGCAGAACACCCCAAAACAAAGCGTAACTAGATACACAACTTCAAAAAATTTAATTCTGAATGGAAGTTTACCTAAGGGAACAATACAGCCTGATATACCTCGGTGTAAATGCTTAAAAGGGAACAACATTTTATAACCATTTACTGCATAATTTATTGCAGGCAGAATGTATCAAAAAAAGAAAAAAAAAAAAGAAAATTGCATCTTTCTGGAATTGTAAGTCAAGCAGGTTTAAGAAAAACCTCGATTTTCATGTGCAATATTCAAATTTAAAAATTTAAAATCTCTCCCATAACGATTTTGGTATACAAATGGGTTCCAAGGCTAGCCCTTTATGCCCACAGCATTTGCTCTGAGGTACTTTAAAAATTGAAGTTGCAAGAAAGAATATCACAAATGACTCACTGCAATGAAATGCTAATCTGCAGTTGAGTCTTATTTTACGTGCTTCCAAGTGCAATTTAGGAAGTAAAAAAAGAAAATACTAAGAAAACACGTAAAAATGCTGTAACCAACATGTGGCTCCTATTTCAATTACAAATACTTTCAGGAAAAAAAAAAAAAGAACTGCTTTTTGAAACCTCTGGCAGCCCTACTACAGAGTATCCATAGTCCATACTGCAAGTAGCTAATAAGGAAATTGCATTAAAATGATTTGTTCCCCTTTAACATACTCATCAGGCACACAAGCTTTCCTCAGAGTAACATGCATCTGAACTCTGTTTGCTGCAGAAAGCCCTCGCACTTCCTAAGTTTCCAGAAAGCAAGCTGGATCAGCTGCATGTACATTTTCAACTGACTACAACATTCTTTAGGAAAAACAGCACGGATTTCCTCAACTGAGAACTAAAAGTGTTTTCTATCAATCTGTGTGGCAGTCTCACTTTGACACATCTTGCATCGTATGAAAGATAGTACTGGATAGAAATCTCCCCAGGACATGCAATTCTTTATGCAAGTGATATCACCTCCTACTATTCCTAAGAGCCAGTTTTGCCTCAAGGAAGTTTGCCTTATTTACTGGCACACACAGCATTACCTCTGTCATTTCATTCTGATCCTAAGAACATCTGTATAACACTGAATTCATATCATGAAAATGAAAAGGTATGAAGTAAACTAATTGTGTGCGGGATTTCTACAACTTGTCTGACTCATTTTCCAGTCACTCCAATTTAGTAGCTGAATTCGAAAAGAACACATCACTTAAATAAAAATATGCCCCTTTTAAACTGGCAACTCCGTCAACCTGAAAAAGGCTGAAGCACTTATCTAATGTATGTTATGGTATTCCAGAAAGAAACTCACTTTCATGATTCTACCTTTTCAGACCCTGCATACATTACAACAGTGCATTAGTGATACAAGTTGTAAAATACTTTTCGGTTCCTTTGGATTTGCATATGATGGTTTTTGCATCAGTCACTGCAGGTAGATTGAGCAAGCTTTGTTTTTGTGTTTTAACATGCATTCAACTAGATATGGATCAGAATAAATTTATACTCCCTTTTTATCGTTATAATTAGCTAAAAAATTGCAAGACAGTCCACAAAACAGGATTTGCTTTAAGACTAACTGCTGGAGTTCCAAGATGTAAGATATGCAGCACTGGAAAATCTTCAGTGATCAGGAATTAGTAGTGTTTAGCCAAGTGTTGAAAGCATTCAGAAGGAAAGTCCTGGTTGGAGGCATGAGGGCTTCAGCACCAACTTTTAAACCTCAATTTCTTGATTGCATATCTCCCATCTTCAAACCTACATTAAGAGGGGGAAATACTCTCAATTAGGTGAGATACTCTTTGACTGTAGCAGAACATTCTAACATTGCATGCACCCCACTGATACACACACTCAACAAATGTTAAGTGCTACATAATGATACCCCAGCATTTATCCAGTCAACTGACATGGAGAGGCTTCTGGGTTAGAACTAATTACAGGATATTCTTTTGGCATGTCCATTCCAGCTTCCTGTCATCACTTGACTTTTGTTGGGAGTAGAAGATGCAATATTAAAAAAGTATTTTGTGCTAAATTTAATTACCATCAGTCATGAGTTTACTCCCAGCAAACTCTCACTTTTTACGCTCATGTAATACAACGTCCTTGGCTGAAATACTCTGTGAAACTTTTCAGGTGTGCAGACTGCTATGCAGCATCACAGCAAAATGAGAAATGGCTGCTGCATTTCTAACTCAGAGGGAATAGTCACCTGTCATCACAGAACTCTGTATTTCTAACTGCTGAAATAGAAATCCAGAGCAAGTTAAAACAAAGTTAACTTTTGTCATAAACTAAATGGACTAAAAGTGAAAATTTCAAGTTCAGTTGGTCTGACAAGTCATTAATTCAAATGAAGCTCCTTTCAACTTATGCTAAAAATAACCAAACAAACCAGAAACAGAAATATGTATCACAAAAACATTGGGCTTTGTGTCATTTTGACACTGATTACACCCCCAAAGTCCATCCCACTTTACAGCAGATTTCAAAATTAAACTCCTTTTCTTGAAATCCATTATCTAAATTTTGGTTCACACTAAAAATGCTTTTTCCACACTGACTGCAAGAAGTATGCACTGATACTTACCTGAAACAGAACGAATATATGAAATTATCTCAAGGTTGTTTATTTGTTTCAGCAGCTTGTGAGAAAGATTCACCCTCAGAGCAAGGCAAAATACTTGCCTTGCCTACATATTTAGCCAATCAAAAATAAGACTTCAAAGTCACACACATTGTTTCATTCAAGAATCACAGTACTGCTGAATTCAACAATTACCAATGATTCCAAAACACCGAATACATTTAATTCCAGATGTATTTTAAGAAGGCAAACTTGAGGCTCATTCTTTCATATTCAACAATCAAGAACCATGAAAATGATTCATGATTTGTGAAGAAACAGACCACTGAAAAAGCCCCATTAGTACAAAGTACAGAAGTACAAAGTACAAAGCTGCACTTTGCAAGGAACAGCTAGTAAATAAACAGTAATTTTTGTGTATTCCTACTCAATTAGAACACTGTAAAAGCACTCCAGACTGCTTACCTTCTGGAGACTCTCCCCCCAAGAACCTGCAATGCTGTCATTTGTAAGAAAGATTAAGTGGTTTCAATCTAAATCAGTAACTTACACTGACTGCCAGGATGATCACCACTGTGGGGGCACATAACTATAGGTTGGTGTTCCTGGAGCCCGATACGTGGGCATAGTAACTGGATGAGGGGCTACTGGAGTTGGGGAATGAGTTGTCAACAAAGTACCTAGAATGAAGAGAACAGTTTTCAGTAAGCACAAATTCTAGTAGAGAGAAAAAAAAAAAAAGAAAAAAACTTAAACAAAAAGGGAAGGAGAGAAAAAACAGATTTAATTTTAAAAGCAATTACAGCTTGCTCATCTTTAAAATTACCTCATTTTGCACTCCAGCCCCAATCTTCCTTCAAACCTTTATGCAAGGGATTCATTTTAGCCCCATGGATGTTTAATCCCAGTGCAACACAGATACCCATTACTCAAAAACAGCTCTAGCAAAACCCCTGCAACATAAGTATTATTCACTGCAAGACTCTCCCACAGCAGCCTTTACGTGTTGTAAGAATATCTGATGGCAGAGACAACTTGACTGAAAAACCAGAATAAATTAGTTATTGTTTGCATTATTACAGGTTTTTATAGATTAAGGGGCTTCAGAAACAGGGTCAACAGTCTTACGCTACAGCACTTTGCAGAACCATTAACAAACACCTGGGATCAGCTTGCCCACCAACAAAACTTTAATGTTAGCTCAGTTTGTGATACCTAACTCCTCTACTTTTGAGGTTTCTCAAATTAAATTACAGATTTGACACGATAAAAACCAGAATCTTGAAACAAACTCATGGCTCTTGTTTTTTGGATTACTAAACTGAGCATCCTTTGAGTGAATGTGGACGTTTCTTCGTGAGTTAACCACCTACTGAGTAACAAAGCAGGACACCCCCTCAGTAAACACTCACAGATGAGACTGGATTACTGGTGAAACAACATTTTCTCCAAACACTACCACCAACAGACTGTGTCAATAGGAAGTAGACATCCTTAACCATTGCCCATGACACAGAGGACCAGCAGCTAGTGCAAACACATGAAGTGTTGTACCTGAACAGACAAGGAAGGTCTGTGACACTACATTTTCCTCAGCCTTAAGAGGCTGCTGCTTTCACCTGGCAGTGAGATATGCACTGGGGAGAGGAAGTCAGACTCTTAACACTGGTAAGATGAGAAGCAAAGGATGCAAGAGTAAGTGAAATTCCATACAGATATGAAGAAAAACTACCACCCCATAACACTGACATCTGAAAAGAGGATGCAATACCTCCATCCTTGGAGGTGATCAAAGCATCACTGAGCTAGCTGGACTCATTCTGAAGACACACTGAGTTACACAGTTTCAGGATTGTGCCAAGTACACCTGTGGCATCACGTTTGTGTAACGCAGCCGTGTTCCACCTCAAACTGAAAGCAGAGCCCCACCAAGGAACAACGAGGGTGGCGAGTGCACAAACCTGCTGACATTGCCATAGTCGTCCCAGCCACCATGCCCATGGTCACCCCGTTCCCTCGGGGTGGGGGGATCGGAGCAGGATACATGGTTGCTGGCATTCCATTGGGCTGCACGACTGTGGTGTGGTGAATTACGTGGGGTGGTGCTGCATATAAAGGCTGTGTGTAGTAAGTGCCTTGCTGTTGGAGAAAAAACAGTACACATTAAGTAATTACAGTGTATCTGTTGGGGAAGATAAGTGGTATCTTCTTTCATGAATGTATCATAAAATAAAAGTATTACTCTACAGATGCAATGCATTTACAGAGCAGAAGCCAAAACATTCTTTTTAACTATTTCAACTGCGTTTCATTTGCAAAATTTTTAACATTTTATCCATTTTTAAGGCATTTAGGATAACATTCAAGGTAGGGACCTTTGTAGAACTCCAATGCTGACTGTACTTTCCACAGTAAGGAGTGATTTGTCATTCGTTCCCTTCATTTTGTCTCCTTTCTTATATTAATCCGTGACAGAACTTTTCTCAATCTTTCACAACTTTTTATTCAGCTGCTCTTAGTTAAAGAACCAAAGATTTTTGACAAATCCAAATACACTAAGCAGACTGGATAAAACTTGTTATGTGGTTATTAATTCCCTTCAACTACTGCTCACATGCCAGGCAGGTTTCCACCATGCAAAGAGGGACAACTTTCCCCCAAAATATCATGTTTCCTGAAGCATCTTAATCCTATCTTTTCTTATAGCTTTCAACAGCTTGCTTAGCATGAGACTTAGTAACTCCCTGAATTCCAACAGAACTTGCTAAAAAAAATTAATGCAACTTTATGACAATTTTTGATGAAATGAAATCAGGATATTGGTAGTTGTAATATCCAGCACACATTTTGAAAACTACTTAATCCAGTGTCTCTTCAAGGACAGACCACATTATCGGTAAGTGCAAGAGAGAATATAAAACTGCACACACACTCTGTAAATCACTGTATTAAGAATTCTTACTGCAGGTAGCTGAAGATTCTCTCCATGCACAAAGAAATGAATGTGATGAAAGGTTACGAGTTCACACAGGTATTACAGGGAACACAAAGCACCACCCGAAGTGACATTTTTTTGGATCTGCCTGTGTACCTGTGCATATGGATTCTGCTGTGGGTAGGCACTTCTGACTGGGTACACAGCAGTCTGGTAGGGATTCGGTGACGAGGAATACGGTGGCACTGCTCCACTGGTGGGTGAACAGGAGACTTTGTACGGGGTACCTGGTGTATAACCTGAAACAAAGGCAAATCTGCATCAACACCATGGGAAACACGGGGCAGTGCACTGCTTCCTGAAGCTAGGGCAACAATTCCCTTATTTCCCAATGCCATAATCTTCACGTGAGGACTCAGTAAGCTGGTTTCAATATGCAAGTTTAATCATTCACCTAATACTGGTAACAGTAACTGGAAATAGCATTTGACTGTGTCAACTAAGCATGAAAAGTTAAATGTATATCTGCACAATTTACTTTTCAAATCTATGACTACAGGGTAAAAAGTGCGTTTTGGTAGTAACGTTATTAAATATTTGGATTGGGCACATTAGGCAGCATCCTTACACAAGAGGACTTGGCACATATTAGTATTACTCAACTTTCAACACCCCCCAAATTGTCCTGGCAAAACACAGTAACAGTTGACTAACCTGCAGTCACCTTCTGTAGGAGATGAGACAGCACAAGAACAAGAATGTCGAAAGCCCGAATCATCCAAAGAGCTCAAGATGGATTGTCAGAGAACAGAGACACAATCTGCAACCTCTACTTCACCTTACATTTGTTTGTATTTGTTTTCTGGCATTTTCTGAACTGGCTAAAATAAATACGAAAGGCCATACTAGTCTGGGCTATTGTGAAAAGATCTTGGGTCTCATGCAGATCCACCACACCAGAAAACACAACACCCACAGGCACTATTCCCATTTAGTTGGAACTGTACAAACTACTACCAGGGAAGAACAGACACTCAGTAATTATAGAAAAAAAAAGAGGCTATTGGAGTAGAGATTAGGTTGACTTGAAAAACTGTCTAGAATGTGCTGACTTCAACACAGAGAACAGATCTGAAGTCATACGGCAGAGAGAATGCTGGCATTTGTGCTGTCAAAAATCAGTCTGTGCAGACAGCATGATGACAGATGACCATTCTTTTTGCAGAAGTCTGAGTTTCTTTGCAATTTCATTCCACCCTTCAAACTCAAAGCTGTTTAGCTAATAAAGAAATAGGTTTACTTTTTTAATAGAATTTATCACCTTTAAAGAAAGCTGCACTATAGCACTCTCTCTGTTGTTTTTAGAGATCTTAAGTATTTCACAAATAGAGTATGCTGAGGAAGCAACTTCCATTAGTATAAGGAACTATTTGTGGTGGAAACCACAGCTACAAAATGCTGAACATGAAGCATCATTACTGAACTACAACTGTGTCCTCAGTGAAGCCCACTCTCATTCTAAAAACCCACTGATACAGCTGCACAGGCAATTTCTTTCTCATTCTTGCAAAGTGGTAATTCTGCACAAGAGGTATTTATTTTTTTCTCCCTTACATGGGACAAAGACCTTAACAGTAAACGATGTGATTATTCAAAATCACAGTCATTTAAGACAGTTACCTGTAAAAAAGTCCCTTTTCTGTACAGCAGTGGCACATTCAAATACTGCTGCATAATATGATTTACAAAAGCTTTGATTCTACAAACAAGCAGTTACATATGAAAGGTTAAAAAAGGCATAAAAAAATCCCAGCTGTTAGGACAAAGTACTTCACGCTATCTTCCTGTATTAGAGGGTCTGTAGATTTTGAACTTTAGTTCACAGCTTAAAGAGTAGCCAAAAATTAAAGCTATTCTTAGTTCTGAAATAAAAGCTTATTTTCCATTCAACAGCAATAAAGACTCTAATAGTACCAGTTTTTTTAAAAATTAAGGACATTCAAAGATGGTATCCAACTTCTATACATCTTAGAACTTTTTCACTTTTTTGTGAAAAAGCAGTATTTTCTGACTTGGAATATATCTCATGCTATATAGCAAAGATTAATCAGTGCAAACTAATATTACAGCATGATTAAGTCTAACATTGAAGTCAAAAATCTGTCCCAGAAACCATAAATTTCTATTACAACATAACTGACAGAGAGCTAAAAAACAATCAACTGGGAAAAAACATTAGTGTCATGATTTGGTAAATTCATTCCATGCAGCTTATGTTCATCTTCTGGTGGCAGGACTTGCAAACTGCAACATGCATTAAGTGTGGAAGCACCTTTCAGTTATCTGATCCTGGGATCAAACCCCACAGCTACTCCTCAGCACAGCTGCAGGATACATGCAGTGGAGCACAGAAGGCAGAGACACATCACTAAGGTTACCCCAACTGTGCCACTGAACAGCCTGTTTGCAATAATAAAAGCCCACAGAGGGCTCTGGTGTCCAAGCCAAGAGTTAGACCCTGATGGGAACTGCTCTCCTTGAACATCACTCTCAGAAGAGCTCTGAAGCAGTCCAGTGCAAATGCACCCCCAGACATGACACTTGCACAGTGGCCACACTTACCCAAGGGACAGATCTTCAAATTTTTTTTAATTACTGGAACACTGATCCATTTCCTTACCATAAATTCAAAACCAAAGACAAGACAAAGGAGTGAGCCTGCACTCACTGTGCCAAACTGAACAGTGACACAGGTTGTACTAACGGGAATACTCCACAGTTCCAAGGATTAGCTACACACTTTTAACAGGTTCTGCAGGCAAACATTTCAGAAGACCTAGTCTGTCTTGTCTCAGTAATTGCTGCCACACCCTCAAGAGTCTCCTGGTAGTCAATGAAATGCATCCGTTACAAACACTGAACTTCAATACCAAGCAGACTTCCACAACATGAGCTCCCCAATTTCCAGCAGTATCCTTTCCCATCCCTATGACACAAGGGCATTCAGGGACAAATGTGGTTATGTGCCATGTATATCTGGAAAACTGGCATAATACACAGAAGTGAAAGAGTTCCTGAGGATGGCCTAGATCTACATTAACAAAGCAATGTAAGGAATTCCTTCATGTACAAAATAAGCACAGGGAGAACACTGTTGTATCAGATCCATGCTCCTGGTTTACGTGGAAATTAAACGCTGCCGTTACTGTTTTGTTTCACGGATTAGCACATCGAAACCATGTTCTATTAGTGAAAGCAGGACTACACAAAAATATTGCTTTGTTTGGAGTGCTTTGTTTCTCATGTCTGTTCTTCCATCTCCCTTTTCCTAGGCCTCTCACGGTACCCTTCTCTTAACCAACACACATGCAGGTGCAGTTACCTAAAGCCTCTCCTGTGTCCACTGTGGACAAAACACTTCTAAGCAACAAACAGGCTTTCCAGAGCATCAGTTTGTGTAAGACAATTTTAAGGGCAGAAAGACACCAGCATGCTGAACTTGGAAAGATATGATTTAAGAAAAGGATGAAAAAGAGTAATTTTGAGGACAACAAACAGAAGAAAAAATAAGAATCTGGAAATGACCAGTAAGATGCAAAACAAGCAGAATCACGAAGGAAGCAGTGAAGGGAAATGCAATGTAAGCCTCAAGGATCATCCTGAAACACAGAAACAACAGCTAAAACTTCAGCTGTTCTCTTCTCAGAAGGTGCAAGCACTATGTCTTAAGATAAGATTATGTTAATTTTAATTTATCAGATGATTCCTTATGAGTCATAATCAAACGTAAACTTATCCCACAGTACAAGTGAGCCCCTGCAGCTTTTCCTCATTCTTTCAACAACTTTCAAACATACCCACCACACATACCTGTTTGGAAGGTAGGATTTGCTCCAGGATACATGTTAGGGGAATAGGCAGGAGCAGCTGCTGCATAGCCCATTGGGAAGCCAGCTGGAAGAAAGTACAAGTCAAAGTTACTTTCTTGACTGACTGCACAGTCTACCCAGATTTTAACTGAGGTAAGCAAACAGCCAGCCTTCAATCCCACCTCCTCAACTAAAAAACTGGGCTCCCCTTCTCCCAGGCCACCTGGAAGTGAATGTTAGGTGAGAACAGAACTTGTGACACCTCAGCTTTCTCCCTTACATCCCTGTTTCAGTAAATCTCTGTTGGCCAAGGAGTTCTTAAGTTAGCTGGAAAACAAAGTTTTGTGTGATTATCCTACATTCCTCCCCCCCCAGCATGAGTTTTAAGATTTGATGTGCATACAGTATTTATCTGAGGGGACTTTTTCACAGAAATAAATCTCTCCAAGTCAGAGTGACTCTGACTCTCCAGACCAGAGATAACTCAAGAATAAAGTACAAAGCAGCAGTAGTCCAAACTGCTTGTTGAATTTGACAGGGATTTGTTATTACACTTGGTATCTAACAAGCTCCCCTATTTCAGACACACCCTGACAGTTACCAGTACAGAGGGACTCGCACAGGCACTGGCAAAATGACAGTTAAGCACTTCTACACCAGAGTAAAACGACTAGGGCTGAACTAACGTGACAGACTGGCCTTCAACACAAGGCAAAGAACAGCATTAGCAAAAGCCAGTTACTTGCAAGATATGAAGCTTGTTTAGATTTAGCAAGTGAAATTTCTGAATTAATCATAGCTATTAATTTTTCCATGAACTTATTTACATAGTCCAAACTGTATAAAACTGAGTAATGACTGTATTTAGAAAGATGGAGTTACTATCATATTCTGTTATCAAAGTAAAAAGATTTCAACTTCTCCAGATAAAAGGCAATTACCATTTGCATCTCCACTGCCAGACTTAAAGCTGCTAGTTTTAAACCACTATTTCAATTTTAAGGGCTTCTATTTCATTATAAATCCCAGAGTCCTCAGCAATTACTCTCAACAATAAGAATTCCTCAGCTCAGGACTATACATGCTAACCTAGTTTTGTAAAGCACTCTGTAAACATATCAAGTGGCATACACTTGGCACTGCTATTGGGTGGTCAGCATGGATAAGACTAAGAAAAGCATTAGGCTTAAAAATCAAAGTTAAAAATAACATATCCAAGTAGTAACAACTTTTCAGAGTGTAAATAGCTCTTCAGCTTTCAAACTCACGAGCTGCTGGTGAAAAGCTTTTGTACAGGTTTGCACCTTACTCAAAACAACTACAGATCTGCAACATGATGTACATTGTACACACTTCCAGTCCTCCTTCCCTTCTTCACAGCTTCAGCTCCACAACTGAGCCCTCTGAGCTGCTCAGGAAACAGGTCATTTGTGAAAAATGGAACTACAACAAGCAGCAGCTTTAACTTCTACACAGAACTTCCATCTGCATGAGAACATTTGAATATTGATTTTTTGCTGGTGGAAACCTATCCAACAAGCTAAAATAAGTCTAGTATAATATAAACTGTTATTAAATATGCAACAGCTTTAGAAACACATTGCCTTTCAATAATGCATTCCACCTACTGCTGTGTTCCTTACTTTCTATTACCATGCAACCCATGCAAATGCAATGATTCTGAGTGGAGAATCTGCAGCTTTTAAATCAGGAGAGGCAAAAAAGAGGGACTTAGTCATGCAACAGCTTAAAAAAAAAATACCCTAAAATGCAAGTCTACTTTTCCATTTAGAGAATGTGCCTTGTGTTTATCCCAAAATCTTAAAAGCCTGAACCAGGCAGCTTAGCAAACTAATGGTGTAACACATTATTGACTAAGCTGAATTTAAGGGTCACAGTTGTGTGAACTGATGAACTGACTCCTGCAAAGGAGAATTTTGAGTAACCAACTTGTAGCATGATATTAAAGGCACTTCTGTAACAATTCTACTTCAATTCCACATATATCAGTTATGCAAAGTAACAAATATAAAGCACTTACATAATTCAATACATAGTCTAGTGTATGCAACGGTAGAATAAAAGATTAGAAGTGGTAATGTTGTTTAAACTGCTATTTATGAATCTATAATAGTATATCTTCCAAAGTAAATTAAGGTATGACTTCGTTTAGTATAAACAAGAGCTTCAATGCAATGTGTAAGTGGTTATAAGTCCAAATGAAACCCTGGTTAATATAAATCTGCATTTAGAAAATAAATAGAGCTAAAAATACAACTTCATATTTAAATAATTCTTAAGAAAAGAAAGTCCTGAAGAAGCAATCTATTATAAATATAGAAATAACTGTTGCATCAATTATATTAATCAGTAAACCTCTGCTGCTTGCCTTATTGTAAAATTACTGCAGCCCTTATAACTCAGTTACAGGGAGTAAAACCATCTTGCAGGACTTATGGTTACACAGCATCAGCTTTACAATTTATTACTGCACCACTCCAGTCACTCAACAGACTTAAAAACATTGCAATATACTTCGTGTTTTCCCCTTACAAATACTGTAGAAATCAAGAAATGTACACTAGTTTGAGGAATCTGAAAAGCAAAAAATGAAATTAAAATGTTTTTGAGACAGTCAGCAATAAGGAGAATTCATTTATGCACCAGTATTTAGAAGGAGGATCACAGAAAAGTAGGACAGGAAAATATGACCTCTAGAGCATTACCTAAGCTGAAAAACAAATTTAAGAACAGTAAATACCAGTAGGAAAATATAGTACAGCTACCAAGAATATAAACAGTAACAGCAGAGAGTGATTTCTACCTCCCAACACAGACACCAAATAAATCACAAAAAACCTTTGGTGTAAAAGCTGAAAAAGTTTAACTTTTTAGGGAATATAAAATCGGAGCTGAAAGACCCTCCGGCCTCTCCCAGAATGGAAATTCTCTTATCTCACAGATACCAGAAATAAAAAAAGACAGCAACAAGACATGCTGCTTGAAATGCCTCCCAGAGGCACACAGGCTTCTCTCTGGCCTTCCTGGAAAGCTCTGTCCAAATGTAATTTTGCCTCATGCAACTTTTAGATTATGGAGATATCAGAAATGAAACCTGCTTGCACACACATTAGGAGATGAGGGGAAAAAAAACCTGGTGAGAAACCTGAAGTCAATGAGAAACAGATAAAGCAAGAAATACATTTGTGTTACAAAACCATTTTTGGTCATTTTCTTGGTCCCATCCTTTATGCTATGCTTTGGACAGTCATAAAACACGAGCATGAACAAGAATTAGAGGATAGAAAGGTTAACAGTGCCTGTCAAGCAGCAGCAGAAATAGACTGACTCCTCTTCTTGCAGGGCGCAATTATTAGAGCTCCTAAAATAAGCTGCTTTGGAAGAGATACTGAAGTTAGAAATATAACAGAAGAAATAACATCACTCTTGAAATGTCACTTTTTAAATTTAAAGACAACCCCACCCCAATCCCCAAACAGATTTTCACGAAGCCATTCTTTAATGACTATTTCTTCTTGAAAGCAAAGAGCAGTAGAACTTGTTAGAAAACAGTTACTTACCTGGATAACCAATTCCTTTGGCATTTGCATAGGGAACCCCAGAAGATCCAGGGCTATACACAGGATTCATGATTTCAGTAACTGAAACAGGAAATAAAGAAAAAGAAAACCGATATTTACTTAAGTATAGGGAAAGCTTGAAATCTCAGCAGCTACTGTGGAACTAGAAATTAGGAAAGTGTACTGGAAGAAAAAGTAACGGAGGAAAAAGCAGCGATTCCACTACTCATCAACACTAAAACCGTAGCCACAAGCAGGAGAGAATCACTGCAGAAATAAAATTTTAAAGCATCCCAACCCTCAATCAGATAGAGAATGTCTCAGGAATGAAACATTCCCTGTTGTGGAGCACGCTTTCAAAATATTTCCATCACCCAGAGTTCCCCCGGTGCACAGATCCACAGCCCGCTGCAGGAGTTCACTTGTGTTGGACGTCTTCCCTCATTCCATCTATCAGTCACTCTTCATCCATCCACCATCCATCAATCTTGGCCTCTTCCCCTTTTGTTTATGAAGCCTCTTGCCAAGGGAAGGAGATACTTATGGTCTATTCCTACTGGCATTTCAAGCCTGGGATTCCAGTCCTTTACCAGCACTAAATTATCAACCATCAACAGCCCAAGTACTACAGAAGGAAGTGGCAAAAGATTCTGTACATTTAGACAGCCAGCCCACATTTATTTATTTGTTTACTTGCTGCCAAGTTCTGCAGAGCCCATGAGAAGCTGGCAGTTGTGTCCAGTCCTTTCTGAATGATGCATTCATGCACCAAAAAGGCACCTACAGCCAACATCACCCAAGGGAATAAAACCAACCCCCCAGTTTTAAAAAGAACCTTGTACATAAGCACCACAGAAAGCAAAATGGCATTGAAGATGCTTCTCAAGTGGCTCATACAGGACTACTGTTTGCAACTACTTTTCTGGTATTTTAGAAGAAATTCCACGTATTTAAACCTTAGTATCTCCAATCATCTGATTTTCTGCATATATTTAAAGATTAAGCACGTCTCAAGGGAGGTTTAGGTTGGATAGTAGGAAAAGGTTCTTCCCCCAGAGAGTGGCTGGACACTGGAACAGGTTCCCCAGGGGAGTGCTCAAGGCACCAAGCCCGACAGCACTGAAGTTTGGACAATGCTCCCAGGCACAGGGTGAGACTCTTGGGGGTACCCTGTGCAGGGCCAGGAGCTGGACTTTGATGATCCTTGTGGGTCCCTTCCAACTCAGCATCTTCTGTGATTCTTCCTGCAAGCACCTAGTTTTCACTACAAACAGCCTCCAGCATCAAGACAGAAAGGCACCCTATGAAACCAAACTTTCTTATTAACTGTTAATAGCTGATACTTGAGTCACTTCCTCTTCTACATTCGAGCTGTCTTACTTAAACTGTGTTAAACTGCTTAACACTCTGTTGGTTTAACAGAATTTTGTAAAAAAAATTTAGGAAATGGGAAAGTCTAATTCCACATGTGTTACCTTAGCTACAGAACATGTTAAGGCAGGAGTTCAAGTGGAATATATCAATATAGCTGCACTGATAAACCTATGGTAAGTGACTATATAAAGCATAAATAGTTTGCTTTTTAAAGAAATGCTAAAACCAGCCCTGTGCCAAGAGTTTCAGCAGCACCTAGTACACAACAGAAGAGCCATTTGTGCAAAATTAGGAAATCAAAGTAAGTGCTATCAGTAAGTTTATCATCAGGTTTCACAAAACACTCAAAGTCGATATAAGAGCATTACAAGATTTTACCAGTTTTTTGGATTTCCCCCCACCTTGCATTAATACTAACTTACACAGAATTGCCTTTTTCTCTTCAGATTCATACTTGATTACATATCAAGATAACAGAATCCACTAAGACTGAGTTAAAACCCAAACAACCTGGCATTTACATCGCTCAGTATGAATAAAGTTCCCCAGAGCAGCATGTTTCAATCACCTGACCCACATCAAAAAGTTCCATTTGACACAAATCTCTTTGGAAATGTTCTACAGCAAACTATACTTCAAGTCTAAAGTGCCATTTCTCACTGAAGCCCCGTGGAGTTTTAACAGCATTAACTCTGCTGTGCCATAATCAACATGTGTACTTTGCTGGACAGCATTTTGTTGTAGCACGGCTGCTCTGTTCTCCCATACTTTCTCCAGTGTACCCCCTCTTTAGAAAAAGGACTCTCATTTACTTGAGAGTTTTGTTCAGTCCACTTCAGTCTGTTCCCATTATTTCTCCCTGCATTTTCCTCTCATTTGATGATGTCACATTTTGTGTTTGAACCTAAAGGTTCAAGCTTCACTACGGTTTCAGGATTTCCCAGTTGTGGGACAAAAGTCTTAATTAAGGAGGTGGATAAACCCTCCCACACAAATGAAAGCCCTCTCCCACACTGCTGTATCCCCACAAATATGCTGCTCCTCCTTGTATTGTCTACAGGAATTAGGAGCAAAGAAGACCCTGTAACCCTCTCAAACCATCCTGAATGGCAATAAGAAGAAAAAGGACTGTCAGCTGGGAAGTCAGAAAGGGGTTTCTGTGAACATTTAGGTAAAATACATTAAAAAACCCCAACTATTACAAGTATTAGTAGTCAATGACTGCAGAACAACACAAGGACATTCACTATGGGGGGATGACTTAAAGAGAAGTCACACAAAGCTGAAGAGGTATAGAAAACGAATAGAAAAGGTAAGAAAAGACTTGATCTCGAAGTACAGATTAAGAGAGGAATTCCATTTAAATAAGAGGAAAAAACCTATGGCACTTGCAGCCTCAAGCTGCCTCTTCTGAAAACAATGTCTGCTTCCACTTCAAATGCACCCACACTTCCAACCCCACATGTGTACAAACACCCATTAATTCAACTTGGGTTGGACAGACCTTTTGGAAAGGTATTTATTTTCACCCACTGCTGTCACCACTGACAGACAAGTCAGGAGCCACCAGCCTACACCAAGTGCTCACAGTCTTTGTAACCCAGACAAAACATCAGATCGTTCCTCATCAAAACTAATTATTTTCGGGTCTTCTCTGAAGGACTCAACATGTGTAAATGTAATTATACAGCATTACCCAGTGGTTGCAATCATCCCACTCTTACCATAATTTCACTTGGAAGGGCATCTGTTACATTGAAATGTGGAACCTCGCAGTCCACTTCCCTGGAACGCTCCAAGTCCACATCAAACACTTGGGAAACGGGTATAAAGCAAACCCAAAGAATCAGGCCTTTCAACTGCTTTGTTGGCAGTCCCTCCAAAGCATTCTCATGTTAATGGATATGCAAATAAGTGTCTACTGTGCATCATCTGTATATAAATTGCACAAAGTAAACTGTGAACCAGTTACTCTCTCAGCTGAAATGAAGGAAATCACACTTATTAAAGATGCTCCGATTAAAGACCACGCAAGGATGCTTGGGAAGTGCAAAAGCTTCACCTTTCACTCCTGCCAAAGCCAGGCAATTAAACTCAGTTTTGATCAGGCCCGTTAAATCTCATCTTGGTACAGATACCAGGACAATCATCCTCCTCTTAAATCCACGTTTTGGGAAGCTGAGCACAAAGGCCAACTGCTGCTAATGCTGAAGCTTTAGCACTCCCACTTGGATCTCTTCTGCACACGGCTTTTCCTGCTACATTTGGAACACACACATTTCTAGGAAATTCTGCTTTTAAAAACCGTGTCAGAGAGATTTGCATGCAAACCTCCACAGATCACTGCAAATCCTGCAGGACAAACTGCACGTTCCTGGGTAACAGAGGTATTGTATTCTCTTACCACTGATTTTCAAAGTTGTGCAGAAACACTACGAGAACAAGACCTACTGAATCAAGACCTACTCAATGTCGCTTGGTGCTCATTTTATGACAATTCCATCACAAAAGCTGGAGAAGAATCTCCAAGTACCTCGCCTAAAGCACACGACTGTGTCCATTAACGCTTTCCTTCTTGGAACTTAAGCAGACTCACACTAAATCATTGCAGTGCTTCACATCTATCCACCCTGGAACACTTTTAGAATGCCACTTGCTATGAAACTGTACTAACAGCCCAGTTTCCACTTACAAAGTTCATTACCATCTTAGTAACATTCTACCCATTTGACTTCCAGTCAAAGCTTAATAGAACTAAAATTTCTAAGTGCCTGATAGTTTGTAATGTAAAAGAAGTAATTTCCACTGCTAAGTAGCAAAGAAAACAGTTCATGACACTTCAGCTCTTCAAATAACTGACAAAGATTAAAGTCTCAGTTACTTTCTGTTAAAACTTAGCCACCAAAACAGACTGTTTGATGCAAATCCGAGGCCAAATAACAGGCACTTCTGTCACAATTAGTTTAAAAAAGGGAGCTTTTATCAGGAGGCATGTAAGGCTTCCTAAAGACCAAGAAAAGGCATCCCAGGCTGCACTGACACTTGCAGGTAGCTGAATGTCTTCCATGCATCTGAGACCTCAAAAAAGGTCACTGAATTTTACCAGGAAGCAGGTAATCCCGTGTTCAGTCCAGGGCACGGGTTCATGGTAGCCCATGGCTGCAGCCAGCTGGAATCAATGCCTACACAGAACTGCCATGCAGCTGGCAAGCAACCCCACCCCCTGTGCTGGGACCCCTCACTAAGTTGGTTGGCAGGAGTGTGGGGTCTGTTCGAGTTTTTTTGGACACAGGATTGCTATGTTTGCCATCTACCAGCTTGAGAGAACCAAGATATATCACCAAATGTCCAAGACAGCACTGGCTCCAATGCAAGGAAGGGAGCAGGACTGGACAGTAACAGCACAGACGGAGGGTGCAGAACCACAGCCTGGAAAAGGACAAATTCACAAACTGCCCAAAGTTCACACATTAAATACAGAGCTGCAAACATCACTTCCAGGCAAGTCTCACTCCCCTGCTCGAGTTACAAGATGTTAAAAGAATAAGACAGCTGCAATCACCTTCTATGTTTTGTGTGCGTGCCTTGTTTTTTCTAAGACTAAAAAGGATCAGTTTAGACTCTTCAATCCTGTCTAATGAACACAATTCTCATCTGTAAACCTGTCCTACCGGGGGTTTGTTATGGGCGGTTTTGTGAGTAAAGTACACACATATTAACACAACACTACCTGGACCCAATATGAGTAAGGACAGACACAACATGATTACATGTCAAAGACTCAACAGTTCCATATGTCATTCACAAAAAGAAAACATATACAAAAAATTTAATAGTAAGACCCTGCTTGTGATTGCTGCATTGCTCTACTCTTCAAAAAACCCCAGAACATTACCAAAACCGTTTTTTTTTTCAAAAAAATCTTCTACCTACGGAAAACATTAAACAAAATGCTTTGCATTTCTCAAAGCCTACAACTTCTGTTGTTGCTATGGCACAAGGGGATAGAAATTATCATCTCCAATCCTCCCATCTCCTGTAAAACTTTGAGTTCGTGGATATTCTCATGTCAAACAAGTCCCCAAATCATCAACTCCTCACTGTAAGAACCTTAAAAGCCTACCCATTGCCAAATTTCCTTTTCAGTTTATTCCATATTCCTTTTTAAAATAGCATGAAACCGTCACAAGTTCACAACTAAGACAGAACTTCGAAAAGCCTCTTAACTCCCCCTCCTTTTTAACCTTAAAGCTGAAGTGTGTAATTACCACCCCAAACAGACAGGCTGGAAAGTCTGTGTTGTACGAGCGTGGAGGTTTTATGACACTGACAATTACACATCTTACAGTAAAATCATACCGGAGCAGACAGAGAGTCTGGTCGCATTAGGTAACACACACACCGCGATCAACATTTCAGAGCAAATGAAGTCCAGCTCTTCTCCCGATCAGAGCTCTGTGCTCCCCTCACCAAACCCGCACTTTTATCTTTCTCAGAGCACCGATTTCACCATTCGCGCGGTGTTTACTTGGCTCCAAGCGATCTAGAAAAGCACTGCAGGCCCAGTTTGTACCTCTTTCCGTTCTGGCTCACAGCTCTTCGCAGACACCCAGGGGACTGCACCCGAGCCGCTGCCCCGCTCAGGGGCACAGAGGTATCGGGCAGGTCGCGCTCCCGGCCCCGCACACACCGACGGCATCGACCGCGAGCCCGGCCGGCGGTGCCCTCATGACGCCACCGCAATTCCACGCAGCTACCGCCGGGCGCCGGGCGCTGACACCGATCACCGACCAGCGGCACCGCCGCGCTCCGGGCACTACCGAGCGCCGCGGGCCCTGCCCGGGGCCGCCTGGCACCTGTTACGGCCGGGCCGCGCCGCGGGGGCCCCGCCGGGCCGAGCGCTGCGGGACGGGCCCGCCGCCAGCCCTGGCCCGGGTTGAGGGAGCGGGGCCCGCCCGGATGGCTGAGGGGCGGCGGCCCCGGTGCCCCCGTTCCCGGCCCCGAGCGCC